TGTTAGCCAGGATGGTCTCGATCTCCTGACCTCGTGATCCGCCCGCCTCGGCCTCCCAAAGTGCTGGGATTACAGGCGTGAGCCACCGCGCCCGCCGCCAGTGTTACATTCTTTGGGTGTATCACTGTCATTTCACAGCTTTCAAATACTTCCATCTCCTATGCATTATCGATGAAAAACTAAGTTTTCATCTTAGAACGGAGCTGACCGACTATTAGAAGCGTGGAACCCAGGCTTGCCTTGTCGTCGGGAATGAGCACTAGAGGCACCTGCACGCAGGTGGAGGAGGGCAGCTGGCGGAGTGAGAGGGCGAGGCTAGGAGGCCCCCGGGATGGAACCTGTCTCTTCTTTGGACACTGTGGAATTTCCATAAGCTGCTGGACACAACCGCTGGGTACCAGGTATGAGTGGCAACATTTGGCAATTCCATTAACTGAAAAGAACGACCGGGAAACGGTGAGGCGGGGAGGCGAAGACGAGACCGGTTGCCCACCACTCCTTCTGAGGACCTGCTGAAAGAATCTGAACTCACCACGCCTTCGCGTCCGCAAGAGAAAGGTCCGGCTGCCACGCCCCCGCGACCGCTGTCGCCCTGGGGAAAACATGAGAAACACCCGGCACCGCCAGGTTCCAGAGACCTTCGCAAAGGAAGGGGTAAATAAAAACCATGGCCCCAGAACTAGTAGTTCTCAAAGGGACGAAACCCGAGGCTCCCCCAACCTAGCCCGTGTTCACTCCAACTTACCCATTAATGTGGCACTCTCCGATGCCCTGATTTCCCAGTCCCCAGCGGCGACGTGTGTGGCGGGTAACAGAAGGGCCGCCACTCCGCCCCTGGCGTGAAGCCTAGCGACCCAGTTTGCAATCCAAGATGGCGGCCACCTGCGCCCCTTCTCCGAGACCCCGAGGCTCGGCTCCCAGAAGCCCTTGCACTCGACGCGGCGGCGGCGGCGGCGGCGGCGGCGGCGGCGGCGGCGAAGGAGTGGTGGCCGCACATCCTAGCAGTGGGGCGTAGAGAAAGTGCGCGCCTCCGCCCCACCCACCGAAGGAGGAGCCTGTGCCTGCGACAACCCCTAGATTTTAGCTGCGCTTGCGGTGGCCAGGCTGTGGGTACTCTGCAGCCCCTAGACCTCCGTGCGTGCAAAGGGACAACCCCCTCATTCATTTATTCTTCACGCGTGCGTGCATGCATACATTCTTAAGGATATAAACTGCGTCAAGTACCATTTTAGATTAATTATTGGGGCTACAACATTGCAAAAAAGATGGTAAAAATCGCAGCCTTGTTGAGTGTACAGAGAGGCTCACGTTTTCTTCAGCATCATTAACTTCCTTTTATATGCTCTGCTCGTTTTGTTTCAAGCTTTTTAATTTGTCATTTATAATTTTATATTCTATAACATCTGTGGGTTTTTGTTGTTTGTTTGTTTGTGTTTGAGACGGAGCCTCGCTCTGTCACCAGGCTGGAGTGCAGTGGCATGATCTTGTGATCTCGGCTCACTGCAGCCTCCGCCTCCCAGGTTCGAGCGATTCTCCTGCCTCAGCCTCCCAAGTAGCTGGGACTACAGGCACGCACCACCACGTCCAGCTAATTTTTGTATTTTTAGTAGAGACCAGGTTTCACTGTGTTGGCCAGGATGGTCTTGATCTCTTGACCTCCTGATCCGCCCGCCTCGGCCTCCCAAAGTGTTGGAATTACAGGCATGAGCCACCACACCCAGCCACATCTGTGGATTTTTGACAACAATGTAGTCACCAGTAAACGAGTAACTTCAGTTAAAGTAGTGTAGATTATAACACACAGCCCTGTAATCTACCCTGGAGTTCAATAAACGGTGTTGAAAGCAGACTGTGTTCCAGACGCAATGCTAGGAAGAGAATAAACAAGATAATAATACATGAATCCTGCCCAGAAGACGTTTGCAATTTTTTAAGAGGAAAAACATGATGACAAATTGTTTTAAGATGTTTGCTATTTTCAATAGTTAAAAAACAAACAGGAGAGAAGGGATTATTTAACTGTGAGTATGTAGGGCTGAGAAAGGCAAGCTTGACAGAGGAAACCTGGGCACTGTTACCAGAAAGCGTTGCCAATCATGAGTCCATGTAGTGAAGTGAAAGCAAGTTTATTAGAGAAGTAAAGAAACAAAAGAATAGCTACTCCATAGGCAGAGCAGTGGCTTGGGCTGCCGGACTGAGTATACTTACAGTTCTTTTTTTTTTTTTTTTTGAGACGGAGGCTCGCTCTGTCGCCCAGGCTGGAGTGCAGTGGTGTGATCTCGGTTTACTGCAATCTCCCCCTCCCGGGTTCACGCCATTCTCCTGCCTCAGTCTCCCAAGTAGCCGGACTACAGGCGCCTGCCACCACGCCCGGCTAATTTTTTGTATTTTTAGTAGAGACAGGGTTTCACCTTGTTAGCCAGGATGATCTCGATCTCCTGACCTTGTGATCCTCCTGGCTTGGCCTCCCAAAGTGCTGGGATTACAGGCGTGAGCCACCAAGCCCGGCCAGTTATTTCTTAATTATATATTAAACAAGGGGTAGATTATTCATGAGTTTCCAAGGAAGGGGGCAGGCAATTTTTGGAACTTAGGGTTCTACCTTCTTTTAGACTGTATGACTTCTGGATGTTGCCGTGGCATTTGTAAACTGTCATGGTGCTGGTGGGAGTGTCTTTTAGAACGCTAATGTATTCTAATTCGCGTATAATGAGAAGTGAGGATGACCAGAGGTCACTTTTGTCTTCATCTTGGTTTTGGTGGGTTTTGCCTGTCTTCTTTACCATATCCTGTTTATCAGCAGGGTCTTTGTGACCTGTATCTTGCATGGACCGCCTATCTTCTGTGACTAAGAATGCCTAACCTCCTGGGAATGTAGCTCAGTAGGTCTCAGCCTCATTCTACCCAGCACCTGTTCAAGTTGGAGTCACTCTGGTTCAAACGCCTCTGACAACAGCACTATTGAAGTATTGATAGGAGTTTACTTGCCTTAATCACCTGGTCACCTTATCCCTCTCTTATTTCCTCCCTACTCCTCCATCCTGGGAGACTGAATTCAAAGAGACAATGGCCAGACAATATATACAAATAGAACACTAACCTATAATCTTCAACAACCAGTCCAGGAAGGCAACCTGCTGTGTCCAGTAACCAGTCCAAGAAATCAGATTACTAAATGTAGCAACCAGTCCAGGAAGCCAAGCAATAACCCTTGTAGCCATCTACCCCAAATGACCAGGATGTGATATTAATAACTGACAGCTTCTCTAATTTTTGTCTGGGCTTCCAACTCAAAGCCAGCTAGAGAAAGCCAAATATCTACCCATCCCTAAATAATTACACAGGATGCCCTGCTTTTAATTAGCCCACCTGCAGCTTCTCCATGCCAACAGCCTTGAACTGGCATACCTGAAGCTTTCCCTTTTTTTCCACTCTAAAGCTTTCCCACTCCTCTGCCTGCCACTGAGTCTCTGACAAATACAAGTGATGGTGGCTGACTCCCTTGCTATTGTAAGCTCCAAATAAATTTGGCTTTGCTTGTTCTCATTTAGATGGTCTGCACTTGTTTTTATACTCCTGAAGAAAATTCCTGCTATCTGGACATGTCTTCCCTCTGGATAGATATGGCAGAAGAGATGGTAATGGTGTCTTTTAGACCACTGCTCAGAAGGGTCTAGGTCCTGGCTTTTCATATCCAGGAAAGAACTGGAGGAATAGGATTGGTATCAAGATGCTGACGTCATTAGTTGTATGCAATGCCAATCACAGCAACTTCCTACCAAGAACTGACCTTCTACGGCATCTTTCCCAATCTGCCTATCAAAATAAAATCCACTTCTCAGTGGTCCTTTTATCCCAAAAGCTGCTGCCTCAAAAGTAGAGAGCTTATTGCCCTATTAGATTACCTCCTCCACAGGCCATGATGGAAAAGAATGGTTTCTAGCCCATGGGTTCAACAATTTCTTTTTACTTAGGCAGATGCTATGGTCTGAATATTTTTGTCCCCCTCAAATCCATGTGTTGAAACCTAACCCTCAAAGTGATGGTACTGAGAAGTGGGGTCTTTGGGAGGTGATTACATCATGGAGATGGAGTTCTAATGATGGGATTAGTGCTCTTGTAAAACAAGGTCAAAGGAAATGCCTTGCCCCCTTCACTATGTGAAGGTAGAGGTACTGTCTATGAGGAAACTGGCTATCATCAGAGACTAAATCTGTCTAAGCCTTGATCTTGGACTTCTAGTTTCCAAAACTGTGAGGAATACAGATGATCCTCAACTTACAATGGGGTTATTTCCCAATAAACCCATCAGTAAGTTGAAAATATTGTAAGTCAAAAATGCATTTAATACACCTAACCCACTGAGCATTATAGCTTATCCTAGACTACTTTAAACATGGTCATGATACTCAGCCTACAATTGGGCAAAGTCATGTACCACAAAGCCTATGTTAGAATAAAGTTATAAAGAATTTTTGAATCAAAATTCAAAATTTGAAGTATGGTTTATTGTTAATGTGTATCACTTTTGCACCGTTGTAAAGTTGGAATGTCATATAGGTCAAACCATCATAAGTCGGGGACTGTCTGTAAATGTTCACTGTTTATAAGTCAACCCATTTTTGGTATTTTTGTTATGGCAGCCCAAATGGAATAAGGCAGCAGGTAAGTTATCAAAGTAAGAACATACTTCTTCTGAGATCCTGTTGATCACTGCAAAGTTAAAATTTGATATACTTAACTTTACAATGACCCTATGAGATAGAGGACACTGAGGCACAGATGAATGTGTAAGTAAACTTTCCACTGTCACAGGGCTAGTAAGAAGCAGCTGTGATTCATACCTAAGTAGTTTATCTTAATGAGAACTAGATGAAGACTCAAAGTTATTAGTAGCAGGATCATATAATTTGTGTGAACCAGGACATTTTTGATAGTGGAATGGGATGCTATTAGTAACTTTTTTGAGATGACTGTCCTGAGCAAACTGGGACACATGACCCTCCCAATTGTTGAAGTTGTAAATTATTGTTAAATTTCCATCACTTCTGTAGCACAAGTCATTCCACACAACAGCATGTATCCTTGCTGCTGTCGATAGGTCTGATCCAGGTTGTGGGGACAAGAGTGACTTTATTTGAAATGCTAATCTGCCATGTAACTTCTGACTAACCCCAAGTCCAGGAATGCTCCCAAAATGTCTAGTCGATGTATTACTCTTTAAGTAGGAACACCTATTCACTGTAAATTTCCTCCAAAACAACCCTTGATGCTGTTACAGAAATCATAGGCTGTGACACCTGTAGCCACCTAAACATTCCTTCCAGAGTACATCTATTTTCCCCAAGATATAAGCCCTGGGTTTAGAGGGTTAGCCCTGGGTTTAGTGGTATGGAGATCTACCTGTCTTGCAACCACCCAAGACCACGCTTCTTTCTATAAGTTACCCTAATGAATCACCCAAGACCAACAAACTTGATTTTTCTGCATCTCTAGGTTCTTGGCTTCTTCGGCATTTGGGGGTTGCTTTGCATATACAGCCCTTTCACAGAACACAGGGAAACAGACTGAGATTCAAGACTTGCCATCTCATATTTATTGCAGAGTGCTCTTTGGGAATAATAACTGTCAGGAGTGAGGAGACAGGATTCTACAGAGAGATAAATTATGCTGCATTGTTAGCAACAGAATCTTCAGACAATCTTACAGGAAGTACAGAAGCTGGGATGGCCCTCCAGAATTGTCACTGTTGAGGCTAGAGGGTCATGTTTCTATCAATGAATCAAGAAGTCTTTGGATATCACTGAATTAAATCCAGAGAGGAGGGTTAATCTTGGGTGAGGCTGCAGCTCCCTTTAACCAGAGTGCAGTTTTTGAAGTGGAACTTGGCCTAGAGCCCTCATCAGTGAGGGAAGAAAATCCTTTAGTCCTGAACAAGGATCTGGGCAGTGTACCAAAGGTCCTACCACACATACTTTTTCAGTTTTCCAAAGACAAAGAAATGAA